TGTACGTGCCATGAGATGAAATCAACACCCGTAGCAATTAAATTAGCTACTTCTCCATAAAAGCCCTTTTGAGATTGCAGATCTCCACACTCTAAGTACCTTGATTACTTGCTAAAGGGAAAATAGTAAATTACCTCGAGTCCCTTCGAGTCACCCTTCTTTATCCATTTAAATACCTCTCGAGTTCTTATTTGCATTTTAGTGGAGACAACTTTGTCAATTTGCTGCCGACTATAATGCGGTTTCTGAAGGGCCTTTGCAGGACAATTGAGAATGGTTCAAGATGAGCGCATCGTTACTACTTGAAAGGCAACGCAAGGATCCAAGTTATCTCCTTTCTTCTCGATAATGGACCACTTCTCAATATTTTGGCTGAAGTCAACCCGACTGTTGAAGACATTTGTAATCGTCTAAGAGCGTATGAGAAAATGAAGACCTTCGTTCCAAGCCGAAGATGCAGAGGTGGAAGGTATAAAGTTTGCTATGACAGGTAAATAGTTGCTCTGAGTTAATGTCTCATTTCGCAAGCACATTTGAATCGATGACTCAATTTCTCTTTTGACACAGTCACAAATGCCGTCATACCTTCTATCTGCAACATTCTTATCTTCACCACATACTCAGCTTGAGCCAGTAACTCCATTGAGTATATATGCCAAGAAAGTGTAGATTGGGTACCAAGTAGTAGTGAGGCATTGCACTGTCTTCACCTTTAAACTAAGTACTCAAAATAAGAACAGCGAGGAGAAGGACGAGAAGGAGGAGGAGGCATATTCGGAGCAGACAAAAAGAGGAGCAGTAAGCACTAAACTTGTGATTTGATAAGGTGGCAGAGTAAAGCACAAATGAATATAACAGAGCCGTGCGCAGATTAAAGAATGAGGAATTGTATGAAGAATGCCCTCATTTGACATTACCTACCATATCTGGGATGTCCCATATGCATTCGTTTCAGACGCCTCAAAGGGTATACCTACATTTTCTACTACCACTCTGAACAGCAGACAAATAGCCAATGTGAATCGGAACCTGCTTTAGACACAGACATTCCGAGAGGATTGTACAAGCTGTCTTGTCATTACATCATACTACTTGGACTGCCACGTCATTCTCTTCTCAAATATACAAACGCGATTTCAATGAGGATACAAATGCTGCCTACGAATTGCTCCGCAAAGCTTATTAAGAGAGCATAGCTCGCATTAAATAAATACGGCCCAAAATAAGTTGCGATGCTCTTGCAGCCTATTGAGGACCACTATCCGTCGGAGATGACTGAAGAGGAAATCTAAAGTTGAAAAGCTCCATTGCCATTTCTAAATTTTATTGGATCACACCGAGTTCCTGGAAGACAAAGTGAAATTGATCGATTCGCTTGTCCATCTAATCTAGTAAGTTGTTTACTTCATCCTTATAATTGAAGCTCTAACTCTATTGTTAACCTTAGTTTTGCATTTATTTTAGTCTGTCCTCAATCCTCATTCCATGATTTCTCTACCCACATGCAATGATATTCGAGCTTTGACTGGGCTCATCAATGTGTTTCTTCGTAGTCTGCCNGCATACTTCCAAAATATGATGTAAAAAATCAACAAATCTACCCTACTAATGAATTAAACCAATCAAAAATAAAATTACTGTTACCTTTCTCTATTGTTCAACGGCTCTTCTCGGCCTGAGACACTTACTATCGACTGGATTAAATGGTTACCAGTTTTAATGAACTTAAGCTTAACTTCAATTAATGCTGAATTGAGAATTTTGACATGGGATTGTGGGGAGTCCGATAGACGTACATATTTAGGAGCACATTGAATGAAAAATTTTATCCACCGGCGTTGTAAACCGGGTGGTCAGACATTGCAGATGTAGTCTAATTATCCATATCCTACAGTTTGAAAAATAAATAAACCGGACTTGATAATGTCGCGATTGATAGAAGTTAAGTGATTTAAATACACACATACCTGTTTGGAGAGAAAGAAGTGTGAAGAATCTGGTTTTAAGTCGCCTTCTTTTGACTAATATCAGTTTAACTTTGAATAGTTATTGGCAATGTCTTCAATGCCAAAACAGCTCTTACAAATGTTAAAATATATCCAAAATTTCTTTACAACAGAAATCCATGGGATACCGAAGGGCTCCAAGTAGAACTGATGTAATTAAGAAAGGAAGAAATCAGCCACCACAACAAACTCTCGTAAGTTCAGCCGTCGTACATCCCTTTAATTTACTCCCTTATACGAGTATACTGGCCTTATTCAATGAAAGAAATGGAAATGTCCAAACCATTAAAACCCTCCTTGAGGAGTTGATCAGTTTAAATTTAAGAGGTAATAAGAACCCAAATCTTGTGATCATTATCATTATCATTAGCCCTTTAGTTGACTTCGGGTTTCACAGAGGGGAAAGAATATCAAAGTGAAAAAAGACGAGTGTGGGGGCGGCGGGGGGGCAGAACAGAGTTTCAAAGTCGGAGGTAGGAAAGGTAGAAAAGAGATGAGGTGAGTACTATAAAAGTATTCAAGCATGAGATACAGTAGGGTAGTGGTCGTTTGAAGTCAGAAGTCAACTACGGATTTATAGACTGGATGTAACTGTGTTGGTCAGGTTTAAGCAGGTTCATCATAAGCGCTGCTTTGACTTTTATCAAATATTGCAAAGACTCCGACACCTCAGGCCTTATGCCCTCGTTGAGTGCATTTTCAATCCATTCTTTCTTCAGTCGACGACAAGCATCTATAGCAAACCGTGCCGACTCATGATATGGAGCAATAGCTTGAATCTGGCGAACATATTTGAGGTAAAACTTCAGGAAAGCCTTCTTGGCGTGGAAGGTAGACGAAGCAGACAGTAGAGTCCTCTGACCATTTTCTAGTTTCGCCACAAATTGATCATAAACACATAAGGTTCTGTTCAGGTAACCAATGTGGCTAATGCAACTGTAAGAAAAAATGTACCGATTAGTGAGAAGTTTGGAAGCCAAATTTAAAATTTGCATAAGGTGGTGGTGGTTGTGACAATCGACAGTTGGGCATGCAATTTACATGATAGCGTGTGCTGTGATTTCGCCGATCACGCGTAATCTGACTAATGCAAGAGTTGCCAGGCTTTCCTCGATTTATACTCAAATCAATGCAACTCATGAAATCTAGTCTGCCACTGGTTATGGTTTGTGTGATCTCTCACACTGCATAAAGAAATGGTGAATAGAAGCGTTGGTCCTTTCTAGTATAATGGAGAAATAATGTTGCCCTACACTCCGTCAATCCCCAAACAAGAGTGGCTTTAGTGATATATTATGGATTATCCATTACAACTTAATTTTCTGCATTCTTTATGCGATTTCTCATTCTTTAATTTGTGCACGGTTCTGGTCTATTCATTTGTGTTTACTCTGCCACCTTATCACATCACAAGTTTAGTTCTTACTGCTCCTCTTTTTGTCTGCTCCGAATATGCTTCCTCCTCCTCGTCCTTCTCCTCGCTGTACTTATTTTGAGTACTTAATTTGAAGGTGAAGACAGTGCAATGCCTCACTACTACTTGACCCCCAATCAACACTTTCTTGGCATATATACACAAGGTAGTTACTGGCCCAAGCTGAGTATGTGGTGAAGATAAGAATGTTGCAGATAGAAGGTATGACGGCATTTGTGACTGTGTCAAAAGAGAAATTGAGTCCTCGATTCAAATGTGCTTGCGAAATGAGACATCAACTCAGAGCAATTATTTACCTGTCATAGCAAAATTTATACATTCCATCTCTGCGTCTATTGCTTGGAGCGAAGTTGTTACTTTTCTCATACCCTCTTAGATTAATGGAAATGCCTTTAACAGTCGGGTTGACTTCAGCCAAAATATTGAGAAGTGGTCCATAATCGAGAAGAAAGGAGATAACTTGGACCCTTGCGTCGTCTCAGAAGTAGTAACGATGCGGCACCATCGTAATCCACTCAATTTTCCTGCAGAGGTCGTCCACACACCGCTTTAGAGTCGGCAGCAAATTGACAAATTTGTCTCCACTAAAATGTAAATAAGAGTTCAAGAGGTATTTAAATGGATAAAGAAGGGTGACTCAAAGGGACTCGAAGTAATTTACTATTTTCCCTTTGGCAAGTAAGCAAGGTACTTAGAGTGTGGAGATTTGCAATCACAAAACGCTTTTATGAAGAAGTAGCTACTATTATTGCTACGGGTTTTGATCTCATCTCATGGCGCATACACGTGCAATACACGAGTGCTATCAACCGCAATTCTGACGTAGATAAATCTATTCGTTCGGTTTCATGCCTCTTGGGTAGATGGCACTTAATTGATTCCCATTTCCCTCCTCCTAATAAGTAGGATTTAGTACACCTTCACAGGATGAAGACCAAATCGTGATTTCCTCTGAAGCCACCCACCACGAGACGTGAAGTCAAAATTGTACTCTCTACA